TGTGGGGGTGGAGCATAAGGATAAAGCCAAGGTGTAACTTTTAATAGGTGCTCATGTGTATAAGTTGTACATAGACCAGGAGGCAAGTCTTTCATACACACCAAGAGGCATGGCTCAAAGTCAGAAAAAATGAGTTTCAGTTACATCCTTTCACCATCCTTAATATGTATGCTGAACAAATGAGATTAGAATTGGGACTATATCAAGAAATCAAACCATCTCTGACCATCTCTATATGCAGGTGATTACAGCATTGCTTGATGAACGTGAAGGGAATTCTGTCACAATTATTTTTATTTCTATTGGGTCAGTGGTATTTCCTCCTCTTTCATTTGTTTTGGTTATTTGCATCTCCTCTTTTGAGCATTTGTCAATTTTACTGATTCTTTTCAACAAACTAACTTCTACTTCTGGTTTTGTTGGTGCTGTTTTTCTTTCTCTCTTTTTTCCCCTTTTCTGCTCTGATTGTATTTTCTTTGTTCTGGTGGGTTTAGGTTCAGTTTGCTTTAATTTTTTTGAGAAATATTTTTTCACATAGGCATTTATTGCTATATATTTCCCTCCAATACTGCCTTCATTGCCATCCTATAAATTTTGGTATATGGTGCTTTCATTTGATTTTAAGTAACTTGTGATTTCTTCTGCTGCTTGTTGGTAGTTTAATAACATGCTATTTCATGTACACAGTTGTATATTTACTAAGGCTTCCAACCTCATTCAGGGTTTGACCCCTGCTGATAATTTGCTTTTCAACTCCAGATATACTGCATCAAAATCTACATTTTAATCTATCTACATTTAGAATGTTGATGGTGATTCATTAACTTCTGTTGTTTTCCTATCACTGATTTCCAGTTTGACTCCACTGTGGTCAGAGCAAGTACTGTGCATGATTTCAACCGTTAAGCATGTACTGAGCCTTGTTTTGTGCCCTTGTGCCCCAACATATGGAATGACCCATGGGTACTAGAGCGGAATGCATATTATGCTGTTGTCGGGTGATGTGTTTTGTGTCTAGTTGGTTCACAGTGCCACTCAGGTCCTGTGTCCTGTTGACCTTCTTCCTAGATGCTCTGTTCAATATTGAAGGTACTGCACAAAAGTCTCCAATCATGACATGAGTGCTATTTTTCACTTCAGTTCTATCAGAGGGTGCTTTTATATACAAGGTTCAAAGAGTTGGTGGGAAAATTGAATGGAAAGATAATGGAATTTTTTTTTTCACAATTTGATATTTTTGTTTTAAAAAAAGTTTTTATGATTTACTTTTCTTTTTTAATTTTAGATAATGGAATTTTTAAATGAATGTTTTGAAGCCCCTTGAACTTAGGTGCCTTGATGTTGGGTGCATATACATTTATGATTGCTACATCTTGATGAAATAATTATTTACATTTAGTGTTGTCACTGAAAAGGCAGGTTTTATACTTGCCATTTTAC